AATTTTCACATTCTGGGTACCAGCCGCGTAAGTTGGGAATACACCTAAAATATTGTCTATTAATTTCAACAGGCTTAATAACCTCCGCGACAAGAATCCCACTAATTTACTCTTCACTGACATTGCTAAAAGAAAAATGATTTATGCAGATCAATCACCTTTACTCATCAAGTCAGGCGCTGACAGCCAGCCTTCATCACTGCTATTTAAAAGGCATCGCTGACAGCAAAGAGGGACTTTTTGATTAAGGGTTCTGTCTGGCTAACCTTTTATTTGAAGAATTATTGTTGCTGAGTGACAAATACTTCTCCATTCATTTTCAAGGCAAAGATATTGACATTCAAACGCTTGATGTCTGCACCGAACAGATGCCGCGGTTGGCAAGGGTCTCGCTCACAACAGCAGGTATGCCGCGACTCTGGGAGCCCAAAACGAAAAAGAGAAAAATCCAACACTACTGGCTCAGGCCCAAAAGCTCACAACAAGTGTGGTCAAGAGATCCTGCAGCCACGTGCTCTTGTTTTGAAAGGCTTCGTTGGTGACCATCTACTTGACCTTCTTCTTCAACAGTGTCCTCCCCTCACCTTCACCCTGCTTCTCCAGCTGATCAGATGGGATTACTCAGAAGAAAAGGGAGCAGCCAAGTGACTTGCGCTTGAGAGGTTGTGCACCCCACATCCCTGGATGCAGTAGAGGAGAGCAAAAAAATCCCTAGACAAAGGTTTCCTTTCCCGACTCTAAGGAGATCTAGGTTGACAGCGAGATGAAACACGCAAGTTATATTTGCCGTATCACCTACAAAAATCAAAGCCAATATATTTGTGGCTTTAAGCTAATCCGGCCGTCGCTTTCAACTTTATCGCTTTATAAAAAGGAAGAAAAGAAAAGCGAGAGAAGGAGAGGCAGGTGGGATGAAGGAAGCATCTGGAGAACTTAGGGAATGTATGAAAGGAAAGAGCTACGGAGCCCTTAAAATATACATCGGCTCTGTTCCCTTCATTGGTTAAAGATGAAGGCTGAAAGCATTTCTCATTTCTCATGGGTCCAAGGGCCACTTAAGACCCATCAGGCTTAGTTTATGTGGGAAATGAATCTGTTTCATACACACCAAGTCCTTTACCGTTTGCATCAAAGTCATTGCAGTTGGGAAATTGTTTTATCAAGTCACATGGGAGGCAAAGAAACTAGACCGACCAGTTGGATTCCCTCTCCTGCCAGGCGGGACACAAAGACTTGGGCACCGTGCCCAAACAAAACCATCTTTTGACAGGCTGGAACTCACCACCACACTCTGCTTTTTACAATTTACGATTTACTGGCATCTCCTCTGAGCGCCATACTTTTGAAGTCTTTGCCAAATGAAATTAGGGAAATGGCTGGAGAAGGCAGGGCCTTCTTTCTGATGCAGGCTAGCTTCTGGAATGGCCTCTCGGGAAAGGAACATCTGTGGCTAACAAGGTGATATATATATATATATATATATATATAGCGCAGTGTTTCTCAACCTTGACAATTTTAAGGCATGTGGACTTCAACTCCCAGAATTCCACAGCCAGCATTGCTGGCTGTGGAATTCTGGGAGTTGAAGTCCACATGCCTTAAAATTGTCAAGGTTGAGAAATACTGATATAGCGGAAGCCATAAACTAAATCAATGTTTTTCAACCTTGGCAACTTTTAAGAGGTGTGGACTTCAACTCCCAGAATTCCCCACTCAGTAAAATTGAGAATCACTGATCGAAGTCATTTTTTCCCCCCTGGTACTCATCATGAACACGGGTTTTAAGGTTGTAAGAACATTTGAAATCTAGAAAAAGAACAAAATGATCCTTTTGGGGCAGATTAGGGAGAGAAAAAAACAGTCTCTTCTTGAAAGCTTCCAGTGATGGAGCACCCACAGCTTCTAGAGGTAAGCTGGTTAATTGTTCTCACTGTCAGGAAATTTCTCCTTAGTTCTAGATTGGATCCCTCTTTGATCAGCTTCCATCTGAACACAGCCCTTGATTAGATAGATGCTATCTAGCTATCATTTAACATGTAACGTTACTTTTATTTCTTGACCTGGCTATTCAAAGCATCTAAGCCAGGGCTTTTCAACCAGTGGTACGGGTACCACCTGTGGTACATTGGCACCTGGCAGGTGGTACGCAACCATCCTAGAAAAGTGGTAGCGGGGGAGGGGAATGAGAGCACCGCCAGGCGGGCAGGCAGGTGTCTTGCTCGGCTGTGCCTGGGGGGGGCACTTTTTTCAGTGCCATTGTAACTTTGAACAGTCACTAAGCGAACTGTTCTAAGTCGAGGATTACCTGTACTTTATCATTTTTTTCCTTTTTTTTTTTTTTTTGGTCATCTAGTTTTTGACCCCTTGCTAGGCGACGGGTGGTCCTCGGATATTGCCATGTCCTAAAAGTGGTACAATGGGTGAAAAGGTTGAAGAGCCCTGGTCTAAGCCATCGGCTCTTGTCACATATTCTGGATAACGCCTGCTAGTGCATGAGTATTAAATACAGTTGCTCCTAATCAATAAGAATGACTTTTCCATTAATATTCTCCTGCTGTTCACTCTGTGTGTCTTGCTTTAGAGAAAGAAAGCAAATAAAGAATTAGGAATTTTATGTGCGTTTTTTAAAAAAGATGTAGGACTGGAATAAGAGGTTATGCTGGTACCAGATGAAGTGGGCGGGGAGCACATTTCATCGCCTTCCTTCCGTAAATAAAAACCACCAGGAGACGGTGAGTTCTAGTTTCTCCTTAGGCGTGAAAACAGGCTGGGTGACTTTGGGCCAATCACCAGGAGACTGTGAGTTCTAGTCCCGCCTTAGGCATGAAAGTCAGCTGGGTGACTTTGGGCCAATCACCAGGAGAAGGTGAGTTCTAGTGCCATCTTAGTCATGAAAGTCAGCTGGGTGATTTGGAGACAGTCTCTCTCTCTCTCTCTCTCTCTCTCTCTCTCTCTCTCTCTCTCTCTGTGTGTGTGTGTGTGTGTGTGTGTGTGTGTGTCCAATTCACCTCCCAGGTTGCAGGTATACTTGCTACCCTGAGTTATTCCTAATTTATCATTGTGGCGAAATGGGCAGCAGATAAATTTAATAAATAAAATAAATAACAAAGGCAGGATAACAAAATCTAAAATAATAATAAAATACAATCCTTCCATAAAAGAAAGGAATCCTTCTGTTTTTGGTGAGATGCTTGAATCCGACTCGTGGGCCAATTTAATAAACATTTCATTCCACATTGCAACTACACCTAGATAGACGATCTGAGAAACAAACAGTCACGTGTGGTTTCTTGTGCTCAGTTTTATTTTATAGATTTTTTTTCCACTGACTCTTTATTCCTACTCTGCTGAATGAAAGCATCAGAATAGCAAAGGACAAAAAGAAAGAAATTATAAGGGATTTTCTATTAGTAAACATTTCCTGGAGCAATACATGGATTTTGTTGAGGTTTGATTTCAGATTTTGCTCAAAAGGGGGGGAAAAAACACAAGTTCATCACAACTCACGAGATGCAAAGAAATGCAATTGAATGAGGAGAAATAAAATAAAAGAGAAGGCTAAAATGCAGGTTGTTTATATGCACTCTTTAAAATATTAAAAGTTCATTCCAGTGAGAACATATAGCTTATATCACATACACAAATATGGAAAGCAAACATTTTAAACCGCTGAAATAATGGCTATTGCCATTGTGTATAGAGAAATTATTAAGTTTATTACAGTAAAAATTGCTTAAATAGAAATTGTCCAGCTGTTACAACAGACCTTTGCAATGATCGCAATTTTCTCAGGCAGATACTCCTTTTGTGCATCAGACAACTTCCTGCAATTAAGGGATAATCCCACTTTATAATTCTGTGATTTAGAACACTTTCTTCTACATTGCAACCCACGTGGAACCCCACAGCCAGCTCTTTTTATTCAATTTTGCTGCGTGAAACACACAACTGCCCTATTGTCCAATCTATATTTTGAGCTGAAACAAATCTGGGCTAGGAAATAAACATTAACCATAATAGGAAGCAAAAAACCGTTATGCTTTGAAAAATGCGTGGCTAAAACACATCATGCAATCATTATTTTTGGTATCTTCACTTTTTAATCAATTAAATTTTGCAAAGAATGGTTATAGTGACGAGGAAGCCCTACGAAGAACAAATAGGTTGCCTCATTCATATCGATGTAGGTCAATTTTTTCCCTGATATTCATCAAAACTGGCACATCGGTTCAAAGAAGCTTCTTGAACAAGAAAATTGAATGTTTGGGAGCATACTAAGGTCCACATTTTTAAAATTTTTATGGAGCATTTTTGAAGAAAAAAAAAGAAAATAAAAAAGAGACAAGAAAAAATAAAGAAAAATAAACACAGAAATGAGTGAAGGAAACATATAAATCTCAAAGAATTTGGTTAATTTTTCTTTCAGTTTTTCATCTGTTAGCTTTAAATCCTGGCTATATCATATCATTTGGAAAACTGCAGACTGTTAAAATGAAAATAATATGGGGATATCAATAGTAGCAATCAACACAAGGTAAATCATAAAATGAGATTTACAATAAATTCTACCCAAGCAGCTCAAAATCCATTTTCATCTAATAGATCATTGAAAGTTAGAATATTCACATTTTAAGTAAAGAGAAACTCGTATTTTGTATGTTGTACAAGGCCATATGGGATCATGACTCCCAAATTGAATTAAATTATTTTTTTAGATTTATATCGGAAGATTTACATATGAAGTTATTTCAGACATTGATTCATACTCAAAATAACACAATAATAAAATAACAGAGCTGGAAGGGTCCTTGGAGATCTTCTAGTCCAACCCCCCTGCTCAGGGAGGAAAATGTAGACCTGGGGTCTTCAAACCTGGCCCTTTTATGACTTGTGGACTTCAACTCCCAGAATTCCTTAGCCAGGCACACGTGCCTGGCTGAGGAATTCTGGGAGTTGAAGTCCACAAGTCATAAAAGGGCCAAGTTTGAAGACCCCAGATATAGGTTGAAAGTGCAGTGCTGCATTCTAACCACAGTGTCACCATGGCGCAGGACCAATAAAGATAGCTGTAGTCTTTCTTGCCATGACTGTTTCCTGACCAGGCCCTCTTCAATCAGTGAACATTTAACCCATCCTCATGTTGGGTTTTTCCTTACCTCTCGTTATTGCTCATAGGAGGCAGGGTGTGCTAGTATATCTATATATAGACAGGGATCAATTAATTTGATATATGGGATGCCTTATTTTACTGGCAATTAATTTTGAACAGCAGTTATCAATTTAATTTTTTTTTGGTCTTGGCCTCCCATTTTTTAGGGGGTGCTTTCTGACAGCTATCCTGCCAGGCAAACTTATTGCTGGTCTCTCTAACTCACAAAATACTCCGTTGAGGCATAGTTGCTGAAATTAAAAATGATAAACATGAAAAATGGGTCTGATTTAATGTTTGCAAATTTTCTGCATAACTATGGCAACACACCCTGGAATAAAACATTTTGCCCCTCTGAATTGTTAGCAGCTTTGTAGAAATTAATATCTGGTGTTACTATTGCAATTAAAATTTAAAGATATATGCAGTAATGTACTAACCAACCATATCAAAGTATCCGATTTCATCTATCTATCTGTCTATCTATCTATCTATCTATCCATCCATATCTATCTCTCTATCTATCTATCTATCTATCTATAAAATATATCTGTCTATCTATCTACATTTACTTGCACAGTAGGACATTGATTGAAAAAGTTATCCTTTTACCTCTGACATTTACAACACCGTCAAACTACTTAGTAAAGCTGTATTACCATTATTCTCCACATCTTTCCTATTACCTCTGTCCTTCTCTTGTTATGACTATAACTTTGTTGCTTGTATCTTGCAATTTATATTGTTTTATTTAGTATCCTAATATGATTTATGTTGTTGCTTAGCTAGTACCCTCTGACTATCACTAGATGTTGCATCTTATGATTTATGATAACTGTACTTTTACGTTGTTTATGATCATGATCTGTTACTGTTACTTGTATGTACATTGAGAGCTTATGCACTGGAGACAAATTCCTTGAGTGTCCAACCATACTTGGCCAATAAAGAATCTGTTCTGTTCGTTCCGTTCCGTACCATTCCGTTCCATTCCATTCCATTAGATTCTGTTCTGTTCCATTCTGTTCTGTTCTACTGAAATCCAACGTGAAGAAAAGAAAAGTGGCCATTGGTTTGCTTTGTTATTGTGAAATTGTGAGTCTCAAAGCTGCAGGAGTGAAGATCTTTGACTGTTTCCATGAAGCATGGCTGAAGTTGTTTCCTTTAAGTGAAAAAAATGGAGTTGGGGATTGGACAACTCCAAAGGGCTCTGCTTCTTTCAATTAAATTTCTGGAATCAATAGAAACTCACCCATGACACATATACACCCAATTAATGTAATGCAATACTTGAGCTACGATTCACGGATGTACTTTAAGTTAACCAAGGGCTTGTACGTATGACCTTCTACAGACTGAGATAGTCTACTCTTACTTTTTCACATCTCTTGCTAAAATACTCCTAGCCAGTTCTGTCCTCCTCCTTATGATCCTTTGAACTCAGCCTTTTGTAACTCAAGAGCATCCTGCTGTGAGTATAAGTGAATGCAGCGGTGTTTAGTTGTTTTTCGGATTAAATTTATTGCAAACATGCACGTTCTTGACAGCAGATTTAAAAAAAAAAACCCAAAATAACGGAGCATGTGAGAGAAAAGTCCAAAGGAGCCAATTTCTTTGTAAAAGCACCTGATGGACATTGTGACAGCCTGATTGCCTTCCACCACCGATTTTGGGAACATGTGAAAAATACTGTGCACTGCTGGCTGGTATGTGGTCCAAAATGACTCATAAATCTTCCTTTATCTCCACTGCGGTGTTAGCAGAAAAGGATGAACTATGTTTTTTCTCCCCCATCTCATTCACATGTCTGTCTGTCTGTTAGCTGTGCCCTTGAGCAAAGATTACTGATGACCTACCTTTGATGTATGACACATCAGAAGCAGCAGCTTTTCATCAAGTGAATTAATCTGGGAAATGTAAACCTACCTGCATGTCTCTTTGTAACTTCCCACAATTCTTTTGTGCACTCCCCTGAGCAAGGCAGAAGTTCAGTATTGGAAAAATTATTCTCCAATGAAGCAAATTTGCCACTTATGTTTAAAATACAGCCTAAATTATCTTGAAAGCATCTAAAAAGGACGCTGGTCACCAAACGGATCCCTTGGCGTTCTGGGAAAGGAGCCTTGCTAGCTTCAGCCTTGAGGGCTGCATAATTTGCTGGGGATTCCTCTGATCTTGCATTGTTCATTATGATATTGCCACGGAGCAAAACAGTTTGGGGTGTTGATCAATGAAGAGGAGGCTTTACGTGACAGCTGTCTTTCCTCCACGCTGATACTCTATCAGCTCAGTCTGGAAACCGTGCACTTCTCTGTAAAGATGGCATTATGCATTAGGGCAAATTTTCCCCCGCAAATTAAATCTGTTACACGGTGGCATATTCTTTCTTTTCCTTCCCTCCCCTTTTATCACAACACAATAAACAGAGGTAGCTTTTAATCCTACAATTTTCAGGATGTCCAAAGGATAACCCCAGCTAATTATCCCAATCTTGACAGCCGACACCCAGCTCCCTATTTCTGCTTTTATTTGCTTTGCTTTCCCTCAACCTGCATAAAAACGTAGCTCAAAACAACTCTGCTTTACGTTGACAAGCTTCTGCAAAATCAATCACCTCTGGGGTGTTAGGACTATTTATCCAAGCACTGCATCTGCCTATAAACTGCAAAGCCATTCTTCCCTTCAATTGTTCAGTATTTATTAAACCTCTTAGTAAAACAAAGTGACAGAACTATAAACTTCTAGGTATAGTTTTCACGGAATTGGCTTAAGAGGGACTTGTAAAAATAGGATTAATGGCATAAAACGTGCAATATATAAATACAGCCCTTAGGAAAACGGAGGAGTAAGGGAAAAATATCAAGCAATTACATCTCTAGTTCTGAAAGCTGTGGTATTATAGGGTAATATTTCCTTAATGTTAGACTTCATTAACCCTAAGATAATCTCTCATAAATTTGGCTCATTTTTAAAGTGAAAAAACTATGTTTATTAAACTACTGAATATGTTTATGAAAACAAGACATAATCTACTGCCATAAACTTCTTGTCTTTATCTGAATAATCAAGCACCTCATAAATAAAATATCACAGAAAGTGAGTGCTAAAATTCATTACCGTAATCGCTCGGCGTATTCATCATCTATTTCATTAACAGTCCTTCTCCTTCTTGAATAAATGGATTCTTAGTCTAACAGAGCAAAACCATTTACAAGACAAAATGCTAAGCTGCTTTTTCTCATTTTCCCTTATCTGCGCCTGACTTTCTTAAATTAATTCTTCCCCTAAATCTTATTGTTTCTTTCCAGTGTAACTCAGCACATCAGAGGCCTTGAAAGAAATGTAAGCTGAAGAAATAGGTCTGTAGAGTATAAGTTAATTAGAGATCTAAGTGACTGGGGATGAGATTTGATGGCATGTGGTGCCAGGGAGAATTTAAGAAACTAATCTTCATTTAAAATGTTTGAAAATAGAGCACAAAATATGAAGTGAAGAGGCTCCAATTTCATCTCTGCCGCAGCAATATTTTCATTCTGGGGTTTACTTAAAAGTAACATGCTGGCAGAAGACGACAGTTGCTCCTTAGAGCAATTATTACTCAGCAAAAGCTAAAATAAAACAATGCAACGTATGCAAAAGTCTTCCATTCTTTCTCTCTTTTTTTATTTTTGTTCTTGGAACTGTTCGCATGATTGACTGATTGCTTGGTTAAGGGCACTGATGTGCCCAGTGGAAATTGGAGGAGACATCAGATATATTTATGTATATGTATATGTATATGTACATATACATGTACATATACATATATGTGTGGTGGACCGAGCGGAGGGGTCGAGCAGCCAGAGAGGCACGAAGCCGAGGACCCCAGCCTGAAGCTAATTTTTTGTTGCCCAGGCCCAGAATGGATTTCCGGAAGTAGCATCCACACAGAGAACCGGTTGTTCACATATTTGAATCCCAGCACTGTGTATATGTGTGTGTGTGTGTGTGGAGAGAGAGAGAGAGAAAGAAAGATGCAGATACAGATATAGATATAGATGATATAGAGATAGAGATAGAGATAGAGATAGAGTTAGGATTACATACATACATGCATGCATGCATACATGCATGAATATATTCTTTCCTAAATGAGAACAAAACTCTGTTTTATGAATAAGATTGTGGCCATGAAATGCCTCTGGGAAATTCTCATGGGTGAAGAAAGGAATATAGGTTAGACTTATACAGAACTGAAAATGAGCAAACTGAATTTTGTTTTGTTTTGTTTTGTTTTGTTTTGTATTTGACACTATTAATTTCAGAATTTTCAGAGTGGCATCCATTTAGGTCTGTCCAAGATGGTGACCCTTTCATTGGCATACCCTTGATGAAGCCCAATCTTCCCTCGCTTGGGATGTTCTGGAGAAGATTTGGAGAAGCTGCTCTAATGGTCTCCTCTCGCAAATCCTATGGAATAATAGGAAAAGATCACCAGATTTCCAAAGTTTTCCATATTTGGAATTAACACTTCTAGGTTGCAAAAATCCCAGGGAATATGTAATTAATCTGACCAATCATAGCAGTAGGAATTGTTCATCCAAAATCAGTAGCAGAAAATAAGCAGAAAATAACTTGTTTATATTTGACATTCAAAATTGTGGCTATTAAAACCATTTCCTTGAAGATCATTATAATTAAGTATCTGACTTTATTTTACTTAAGCAAATAGAGAACCTATTTCATTTTACTGTCATTTTATACGTTGCACTTATTTTAGACATTTAATCTAATTATTTTTTCCAGAGATCATTTTACTGCTAATAAATGAAAGACATGAAAAATTAAATTGCGTAATAAAGCGGGAAGGGGATTTGGTTCACAAGATACAGTGCTCCTGAGAACTGGGGTAGATTTAAAATTATGTAAAAAAAACTACTGCCCAACAGAATTAGGAATGTTTGTAGATTTTAAAATACGAATGAAAATACATGGAACTTAATGGTAGAGTGTTAACATGACTTACAGATAATACTAATATATTAATGGAGCTAGGAAATAAACAAAAAATTCTACATACCACTGCACTACTTTGGAACTAAAATTGTTAATAAATGTGTCAAATCCTATATAGATGCCATGTATTTTAGATATGTCTTCGGATTTTCCAGTTAGAGACTACATAAATGATTAGTAAGATCAATTTTAGTATGCATAGGGTTTATTTTTTAAAAAAACTATAACTGTTGTAGCTGCAGGTGGGCAGAAAAGACAAAGTTTCCTGCTTTCAAAGGATGTGGCCATATTCTTTTAAAAAATAATAGTATACATAATTTATGTTATACACACACGATACAGTACATAATTTATATTAATATACCCGCCACATAATGCAGACATAAAATTCCTGATAAAAAAGACAACAATAACTCTGGATAGTTTTGGCAGTACTTGGAGACAGCAGAAGAGAAGAGAAAGAACCAGAAATACAAAATACAAAGACCTGCAAATCCTTAAATAAAGATTGATAGATAGATAGATAGATAGATAGATAGATAGATAGATAGATAGATAGATAGATAGATAGATAGAACAAGATAGATAGATAGATTAGAACAATTAACCAGTGGAACAACCTGCCTCCAGAAGCGTTGAATGCTCCAACACTGGAAGTTTTTAAGAAGAGACTGGACAGCCATTTGTCCGAAATGGTGTAGGGCAGGGGTAGGCAATCTCAGCTCTTTTATGACTTATGGACTTCAACTCCCAGAATTCCTGAGTCAAGCTATGCTGACTTGGGAATTCTGGGAATTGAAGTCCATGAGTAATAAAAGAGCCAAGGTTGCCTACCCCTGATGTAGGGTTTCCTGCCTGAGCAGGGGGTTGGACTCGATGACCTCCAAGGTCCCTTCCAACTTTATTATTATCATTATTATTATTATTATTATTATTATTATTATTATTATTATTATTATTATTATTTTGGATCATTGCACAGTCAGCCAGATGTTCAGACTGGATTTGGCATTTTGTCTACCTATCGAGTCCTTACCCAGGACCTGGGATAGGCAGATGTGGATGTTTGATGGTATTACAGGTATCGTCGCAAGATGGAAGCAATTCCTAGTAAGGCCGCCTTTTGCAATTGACTAATAGCAAATTTGTCAATGCCAATGGTGTTCAAGTGGTGCTCCAGTTGTTTTGGGATTGCACCCAAGGAGCCTATGACTATTGGTGCTACCTTTGCTTGCTTTTGCCACAGTCTTTCTATTTCTATTTGTAGGTCTTTGTATTTTGTTATCTTCTCCAGTTCTTTCTTGTCTATTTTGCTGTCTCCAGGCACTGCCACGTCCACTATCCAGACTTTTTTGTCTTTCTTATCGACAATTGTTAAGTCTCGGGTGTTATGTTGCAGGTGCTTGTCTGTTTGAATTCTGAAGTCCCAGAGCAGTTTAATTTTATCATTTTCTATGACTTTCTCTATTTTATGATCCCACCAGTTTTTGCTTACAGGCAAATGATTTTTTTGCAGATCTTCCAATGCACCATTGTTGCTACTTTGTCATGCCGCTGCTTGTAGTCATTCTGTGCAATCTTCTTGCAACAGCTTACCAAGTGGTCCACTGCTTCTTCAGCTTCTTTGCATAGGCGGCACTTACTGTCTGTTGCTGTCTTCTCAATTTTGACTTTATATGCATTTGTCCTTAAGGCTTGGTCTTGTGCAGCCAGAATTAATCCCTCGGTCTCTTTCTTCAATTTTCCTGCTCTTAGCCATTGCTAGGTCTTGTTATTATCTGCTTTCCCAGCTATTTTTTTAACGTATTGGCCATGTAGTGCTTTGTCTTCCCACGCCTCTATTCTGTTCTTCATTTGGTCTTTCTTGTAGGCTAGTTTGGTCTCTCCAGTAGTCAGTAAGCCTTCCTGATATGCTAATTTCAGTGCATCTTCATCATTGTTCTTCAGATATTCTTCCAAAGCCATTGTTTCTTCTTCAACCATTGATGTACTTATAGCATTCCACGTCCACCTGTTTGCCTTGGTAGATAAAGTCTGTCAATGTCACTGCGTGGATGAAGGGCATGATTCATTGTCATTATTTTTCTGGTCTGCCTATCCATTGCTTTTAGTTCTGCTTGGGTCCAGTCCACTATTCCAGCTGTGTACCTAATAACTGGGATTGCCCAGGTGTTGATTGCCTTTATGGTATTTCCTCCATTGAGTTTGGATTTTAAGATCTTCTTCACTCTCTTGATGTATTCATCTCTAATCTTTTTCTTGACTTCAGTGTGCTTGATGTTGTCAGCTTGAAGGATACCCAAGTATTTGTAGTACTCTTCCTCATCCAGATTCTTAATGTTATTTTCGTGGGGCATCTTGATTCCTTCAGTTTTCATTATTTTTCCTTGTTTGATAGTAAGTTTGGCACATTTGTCCAAGCCAAACTCCATTACAATATCTTGGCTATATATACGGACAGTGTTGAGCAGCGATTCTATTTCAGATGATGTTTGTCCATACAGCTTCAGATCATCCATATAAAGGAGGTGGGATAGTCTAGCAGATGTTTTTGATGTTTGATAACCATGTCCTGAGTTATTTAGTATTGTTGACAGAGGAAACAGTGCAATAACAAATAGTAATGGTGATAATGAATCTCCTTGAAATATTATTATTATTATTATTATTATTATTATTATTATTATTATTATTATTATTATTATTATTATATAACCTTTATTGTCATTTTTTACTGTGGGCACAAGGGCACACATTAAAAATGAAATTTTTAAGTGTGTGTTATGTAAATACATAACACACACTTAAACATACTATGTACAACATATGTATAGACCAGTGGTTCTCAACCTTTCTAATGCCACGACCCCATAATACAGTTCCCCATGTTGTGGTGACCCCCAACCACTTATATATCATCGGGTGCCAGGGGCGTGGCCAAAGAAAAGGGGGAAAAAATGGCGGACAGCCTTGTTTGGCGACCCCCGTGAAATGGTCATTCGACCCCAAATGGGGTCCCGACCCACAGGTTGAGAACCACTGGTATAGACCTACACCTTTATATATAAGTAACATGTTAATATTAATCATTGTCCATCTTGACTAAATAACGATAATGATCTCTTTGGTTTTTCCAGTGTTTAAAACTAGGCTGTTCTCCTTACACCAGTTCACCAAACGCTCAACCTCTTTGTGGTAAGCACCCTCATTGTCATCTTGAATAAGGCCCACTACTGTTGTATCATCCGCAAACTTCACAATATGGTTGGTGGCAAACCTAGCAGAACAGTCATGGGTCAAGAGGGTGAACAGCAGCGGACTTAGGAGGCAGCCCTGAGGAGCACCTGTGCTCAAGAAAATGGTGTCAGAAATATTTGTTCCAGCTTGCATTTACTGGGGCCTGTTAGTAAGAAAATCAAGAATCCAGTTGCACAAAATATTCATAAGGCGTTTGATTCTGTTCATTGGGGATTCATGAATGATGTCTAGCAAGGTCGCACTGCGGTCCCTAATTTGACAAAAATATTTTAAAAATGTATTGGCCACTGGTAACAATCATAAAGTGCTAATAAGGCAAATTCAAATGTAATAATACAGTGGCAAAAGGAATGAACCAGGTTTTGCTCTCCCTCCCTTCATTTTTCCATCATGAACTGAAACAACTTATATGGAAAATAAGAAAAAAAAATTCTTGGAGCAAAATTGGTAATGCCAGTTATAACATTATCTTACACACAGGTGATAAAATTTTTTGACGGCATCTTATCACTTAAACTGCATATAAATTGCAATCATCTGAGAGGCTGCTGGCTGAACTATAAATTATATAAATCAAAATTATTGTGCTTTTTTCCCCAAAGAACCATTGACTATAGAATATAAAACATTAGCCGTTTGGATATGATACTCCTTTTGGAGGTTATCCAAACTTAAAGAGATTATTCATAATTAATTGTAGAGAAGCTTGAAAACAATGTAAGCAAAACAGGACAAAATGAGAGGGGGAAAAAATCTATTTTGGCAACCACAATTGAGAGCACTAAGTCAGTTGTTAAACAAAGCGGTCACTAAGCAAAACCACAGCTGTACTTATAATGTTTCTTCAGATTTCCTTTGCTTTACAGACCTGTGAAGGCCGTAAGTGTGAGAACTGGTTGCAAAGTCACTTTTTCATCACTGTTGTAACTATGAACAGTCACTAAACAAGGCAGCCTGTACAGGTAATCCTCAATTTACAACAGTTCATTTAGTGACCGTTCAAAGTTACAACGACACCAAAAAAGTGACATGTGACCATTTTTCACATGTATGACCTTTGCGATCAAAATTCAGAGGCTTGGCAACTGGCAGGTACTTGTGACAGTTGTGGTGTCCCGGGGTCACGTGATCCCCTTTTGCAAACTTCGGACAAGCAAAGTCGAGGGGGGAAGCAGGATTCACTTAACAACCATGTT